CTCCATTACTTTCCTCCATTATGAAGATAACCATAACCTCCATAACCTCCAACTTTATAACCATTATTCTTGTAACCATTCACTTCCATAACCTCCTCCATTATATTCATGTTAATGCCATGTTTATGACTAATCTTTTGTATGCCTCTATGTTACACTATAAATAGAGGCATAAGGGTTCATATTGTATACACTTGAAGATTTGGTGAACACTTGAAAAAAAGAAAGTTATCTTATATTGTTCCTCTTGTCTTATATTCTTCTTGTCTTCATCTTTATATTATTCTTTTGTTCTTAAGTTTTACAACAAATGATTTTTTTAATTAAATTCATATTTATTAAACTTAAATATTTAATATAAATATATTAGATAATATTATTTATTTAAACTATTATATCTTAAATTTAATATAATTCACATTTTCTTTTAATAAAATTTAGTTGTCCAAACTAACAATTTTCTTTAAAATTAAATAAAAACAAAAGGTAGATAAACTAAAATGAAGACTAGTTTTTCAATGATACATTTTCCCCCAAATAGGGCCACAACAGAGTCCATTAAAAAAAAATTGCTATGAAAAAAGAAAGAAGAGAAATTAGCAGTGTCATAACTAAGAGCCCGTTTGGATTGACTTAAAAGTTGGTTAAACCTATTTTTAAGTCAGTTTTTGACTTTGTTTGGCAAATATAAAAAATGACTTAAAATAAGTCGACAATGACTTAAAATAAGTTACGACGTGTTTGACAAAGTAAAAAATGACTTAAAATAAGTCAGAAACCAAAAGTAGGTCTCCCTCTACTTTTTATTTTCTGACTTAAAAGTCATTTCAGTTTGACTTTTTATTTTTAACTTAAAAGTTACTTTTTTAAGCCAATCCAAATGGGCTCTAAGTGTTTGAGAGCCCGGGTTAAAGACAAATTCGTTTCCTTTTTTGCTTCCTAGGTTTTACTTCTTAAAATCTCAATTTGAATTTAGCAGACCTATTAGTATATAAATGAATCTTTTATCTTTTGTATTAATTTTTTTATGTTTACTTGTGTTGGATTGAAACAACCGTATCAATCATCATCCAAACTGACCCCATTTGATTTCAACGGACTGAACAGGGTCTAAATCTTTATCGTATATTTATAATAAATTTTTAAGTTAGGTTTTGCTAGTAACTAGATGTGAAATCCAAAGAAGAAACCGAGAGGGGCTCATTGGAATATGTGGTCTATATATATATATATATTCTGAAAATACATGGTAACTAATCATAATTTAATAATTAATATTTTTTTTTTCAGTTGACAATATAATATTTCTTGTACTCCCTCCCGTCCCATATTATAAGTCACCCCTTTCTAAAAATAGTTGGACCACAATATATGTCATTTTATAAAATTTATGCATAAATTACCAGACGAGAGGGAGTTGCTCGGATGGTAAGCACCCCTCACTTCCAACTCGAAGGTTGCGAGTTCGAGTTACCAATGGAGCAAAAGGGGTGGGGGAGCTCCTTGGGAGGGAAAAAAAATAAAAATAAAAAAATGCATAAATTACCATATTTTTCCCATTATACCCTTGATTGATTAATTAATTAATCTTGAAAATGTATTTACTTTGACTAACCTAGGAAATCTACAATTAATTAATTTCATTGGGAGAATACTTCATTCATTAATTAACTACTTTCTTTATTCACGAAGATGACTTTTCAAAAAGTTCAAAGGATGTAAAAATAGAAGACTCAACCAAAACATGTGAAGGCCAAATTGAGAAAAATCAAGATTCAAATAAAGGAGTTATGCACCATTTAAATAAAAAAACAAATGATTTGTCGAACTAGAACTAAAATTCATTTGTCGTCTAATTTCATTATCAATAACATCAGATTCAGCAGGAAAATTTAGATCAATTTGAAGTAATGAAATTTGAATATTTTGTGATGTTGTCATGTTTGCTTTAAGAATTTATATATAAAAAAACATTTTACACAAAATATATAGGAAAATTGAGGTGGAAAAAACTTTGTTTTTTAAATTTTTGGATCAATTGGTGAAAAAATTTGGCTCCAAAAAGTAAAATTTAAACAGTCATCCAAATGCATTTATATTTTTGAAATCTAACATTTCAAAAAATTTTGGCTCCAAAAAGTAAAATTTAAATAGTCATCCAAATGCATTTATATTTTTGAAATATAACATTTCATCATTTATTACAAAGTTGTTATAAGCAAACATTAAATAAGAGCATAAGAAAAATTACCTTATTTCTTAATGCAAGTGCAAATAGAAAAGGTGACTTATAATATGGGACGGAGGGAGTACTATTTTATTGACACAAATTTACATATACAAATTATTGTACGTTATATAACACTACAATTATTTAAATTTTATGGAAGGTCTTTTTGATTATTGTTTTGAACTTTTTTTCAATTGAGTCAATTGTAACATAAACTATCAAATTTTTTCTAAAAGTGTTTAAAAATAAAATTAATATTTCAGTTGATTGAATATGTCAATTAGAATATCATTTGTTTACTATAAGATTTCGTATTTCTTTTAGTTACAAAAATAGATTTAAATAACTAATATTGTAGTGATTGTTATCTCCTTGAAAATATTTTTTTGTAATCTAATTAGTTTGACCTGAAATGGGTAAGGAGACATCTCAAAAAGAAATGAAGAATTGAAGTGAATTAGACAAATTAAGAATTAAAAGTAACTACAGATTTTTAATTATTTAGGAATATTGAATTATAATTATTTTTTAGAAAATAATAAATTTTGAAAACATGTGCATAATTATTAGTAAAAAATGATTGTCAATAAACCCTATTTAGTACAAGGAGGTTGAGCCAGGATTATTGCAGACTTCATTCTGCCATTGCTTCTTAATACGGTGCTTCTCACAATTAACATTTTACATAGCCTTCATCAGATTTGTTTGGTTTGTCTGTTTTTATGTGTTTGAGCGAACAGAATTTGGGATTTTTGCTTTGTGATTTTGAACAAACCTTCAACTTTATTTATTTATAGGACCTTTTTTTCTGTTGTGTTGGTTGAATTCAGTGTTTTTACCAACCGAGATAGTTTGAATTTCTTACATTATGATCATACAATCAATTGATTGTAACTGAAAGAGTTTGAATTGAACTCCATGGAAGAGCATCTGAATGTTTATGTATTATATTATCTTGTAGGTAAATTATTTTGTTGTGTTGATGAATGCAATCTGAGTGACCACAAAGTTCAATTCTTCTCGATCTACAGAAAAGTCGAGCAGCGGTATGGATGATTTGCCGACTTTCAATGCTGAGAATATGCAAAACAACATGAAAGTTATTCTGTACAGGTTGGTTTTAGTTTGACACCATATTTAGGTGGAGTGAAATTATCGTTCCTTGCTGTTTCTTGATGATTTTGTCTAGTAATAATTTAGCTGATATTTTAATAAAGCCTCGACGTAAATTGATACAGACTGTCGATGTGAATTTCATCCTCAGTCATGTGAGACTGATTGTTACTCGATTACAGGAATTCCCAATGAATTAGAGGATCGAGTTACTGTTTCAGGAGTAACCTTGAGAATACAGTTGAAGAAGAAGAGAGTTTAGGAAGAGAGAAGAATTCTGTATTTCCATATATGATTGTACAATGAGTTGATTACAAGCTATATAGTAATTGACTAGCCAAGATATACAACTATTGATTCAGTAATCTAACAGAAATCAGTTAGAACTGCCTAACTGCTTTCACTGTAGCTGTCTAACATAATTAACTACTTTCCGGAAGCCTAAATCTAACTCTAACTCCTTAATTGTGTATCAGTACTCCCTCCTAGTAAAAGATCCTTGTCCTCAAGGATCAAACAAGGGAAATCTTGTCTTCAAAACAGTTGCAAACTCCCAGGTAGCTCTGCAGGTAGTCCAAGCCACTTAACCAACAATTGAGCCACAACCTTGTTTCCCCTCTTAACAATTGTCCTTTGCAACACCATCTCAGGGTCAGGACAATGAGGATTGGTCAAATCAATAGTAGGAGGATGAGATATCTGAGAAGGCACTTCATAGCATCTCCTTAACAATGACACATGAATCGTAGGATGTACTTTGACAGAAGTAGGCAACTAGAGAGTGTAAGCTACTGGACCAACTCTTCTGGAATGGGCCATATACATGGCAACTAACTTGTGGGACAAATGGTTAGAAATTGTGGCTTGCTTGTAAGGCTGAACTTTGAAATACACCCAATCCCCTACATCAAAATGTCTATCACTTCTATGAGAGTCAGCTTGTTGATTCATTCTGAGCTGAGCCCTCCTTAAGTGATGTTTTAGTTGAAGTCTAAGCTCTTTATTTACCAATGTACCATCAACTTCAGCAGAAGCTGATTCACCTAGTAGATAAGAGAGTGCAACGTGGGAGGTCTACCATATAGAGCTTCATAAGGAGTTGTCTGAATTGTTGAATGATGACATGTATTATACCAACACTCAGCCCTTGGCAAGTAAGAAAACCAATTGGAAGCATCATCATTGCAATAACACCTCAGGTAGGTCTCTAGGCATCTTTTGAGTACCTCAGTTTGGCCATCGCACTAAGGGTGATATACTGTAGAAGTATGCAAGAGAACTTCTTGCAATGTAAAATGTAAAAAGTTCTTGCCAAAAGGAACTCAAGAAGACAACATCTCTATCACTAGTAATAGCATCAGGCAATACATGCAGTCTAACAATTGTGTCCAAAAACACCTTAGCAACTAATTGAGCTGTATAAGGGTGTTTGAGTGGAAGGAAATGGCCATATTTGCTGAGTCTATCCACTACCACCAAGATTACTTCATAACCCTGTGACTTAGGTAGACCATCAATAAAATCCATTTGAGACCAAACTATGTCAGAAATTGGCAATGGTTGTAGGAGGCCAGGGTAAGCAGCTAAGTTTGATTTGTTTCTCTGGCACACATCACACTTTTGTATAAATTCCTTCACCTCCTTTCTCATATTTTTCCAATAGAACAATGTCAGTAGTCTTTTGAGAGTAGCTTCAACACCTGAATGACCCCCATGTGGACTAGCATGTCATAAAGTCGTAATGTCAGTCCTTAAACTTTGCACTTTTCCAATGACTAGTTTTCCCTCTCTGCAATTGACCTTGCATCCAAGTGAAATGCCTGAGTATTAGGGTTTGCTTGTAATTTTTCAATAGCCTGAAAAAGACCAGTTTGGTAGGAGAAATGACTAGAGCCAATAAGTCAGCCCAGTGACTCTTGAATGTGCATCTGCCACTTAGTTCTCAAGTCCTCCTTTTTACTCAATAGTGTAATCAAATGGTATAAGTTTTTGGTATGTCTTCTACTGCCATTCTCAGTTGGTGATAACCTGATCTCACGTCAATTTTAGAATAAATTTTACATCCTCCAAGCTCATCTAATAAATCCTCTACAATAGGTATAGGAAATTTATTCTTTACAATGTATTTGTTTAAGTCTCGATAATCCACACACATCCTCCAAGAGCCATCTTTTTTTCCAACCAAAACCACAAGGGCAGCAAATGAGCTACAACTAGACTGAATTATCCCTTGATCTAGCATTTGTTGTACTAACCCTTCAATGATATCCTTCTTCACAGAGGGTACCAATGTTGTGAAAAACGACAAAAAGCGCGCTTTAGGCGCGAAGTGAGGCGAGGCGCACTCACTATATCTTTATATCTTTATGCTCTGAAGCGAGGCGATGATTAAAAAGCGAGTGCTTCAACTGCTGAAACGAGAAGCGTGCTTAAAGAAAAGGTGAGAACAAGTGCGCTTAAATGAAAAAAGCACAAATTAGGCGTTTTTTTTATAAAAAATTGTAAGTTTCTTAAAATTTTTTGAAAATATACTGGGCTGCTTCGACTTCTGCGACTTCCAATTATTTCCCTCCGACTGCTCCGAGGTTAGTTCTCTTCTCTTCTCTTCTTCTCTTCCGGCTGCGACTGCTGTGAGGTTGTTGACTGCTGCAGTGCAGTGCTGCTCTGTTTTTTTCTCTTCTTCTCTTTGGTCACTACTACTCTGTTTTTTTTTCTATTTTTGTATTCTGGTTGCTGCTCTGTTCTATCTTTATATTTTTTCCTTACTTTATTTGCTGTTTTGTTACTGAGTTACTCTTCTTTTTTTTGCTTGTAGTAAAGTTATATTTTCTTATTCAATGTCACAAAAAAGGGATCCTGCTTGGGCGTATGGAACTCCTATGGGAAGTATCACAAAAGTCAAATGTATCTTTTGTGATGTGACATACAATGGTGGAATATTTCGTCACAAAAAGCATCTTATTGGTGGTTATAGAGATGTAAAAGTATGTCTGAAGGTCCTGGATAGTGTGAAGGAAGAGATCAAAGAGTATTTGTTGAAAAAAATGAGTTTAAACTCAAATGAACCATGAAGCATCCATGGTTAATCTTGTTGATGATGATGAAATGGATGATGATGAAGTTGAAGTGAATATGTCGATTGGGCCTCCCTCAAAATGTCTAAAGAAGCCTCCAAGTAGTGGGAGTGGGTTATCCACCAATAGTAATGTCAAGGGTCCTACAAATTTCTATTTCTCGCAAAAACCAAATGAAAAGAGAAAAGGTGGACCTATTGATTTAGAGGCTTCTAAGAAGATTTTAAGGGATCATGCTGTATCTGCTTTTGCTAGGTGGATGTATGATGCAGGGCTTCCTTTCAATTGTGTTAATTACAACGAGAGTTTTGGTGAATTCATTGTGGCAATAGGACAATATGGCCCTAGAATGAAGCCCCCCACCTATCGTGAGGTAAGAGTTCATTTTCTTAAAAAGGTGTAAAAGACAAACAAGATTGTAGAAGAATACAAGGTTCAATGGAAAATGTATGGCTGTTCCATTGTGATGGATAAATGGACAACAAGAAATGGGAAATGGTCATTAGTGTTTTGGTGAATTCTCCAAGAGGGAGTGTGTTCCTTGAATCTTATGATGGGAGTGACTTTTCTACTGATTATAATAAGATGTTTAACTTGTTTGAGAAGACTATCTTGAAGATAGGCAAGGAAAATGTGGTACAAGTTGTGGCTGATAATGCAAGTGAGAACAAAAAAGCGGGTGACTTGCATTATCAGTCACAACTGGTACCACATTTTTCTTGCCTATCTTCAAGATAGTATTCTCAACAAGTTAAACATCTTATTAGAATCAGTAGAAGAGTTTCTAGCATCATAAGATTCAAGGAACACACTCCCTCTTGGCGAATTCACCAAACATTAATGACCATTTTTCCATTTCTTGTTGTCCATTTATCCATCATAATGGAACAACCATACGTTTTCCATTGAACCTCATGTTCTTCTACAATCTTGTTTGTCTTTTCCACCTCCTTTTTTAGAAAAGGAACTCTTACCTCATGATAGGTGGGGGGGCTTCATTCTAGGACCATATTGGCCGACTGCCTCAATGAATTCACCAAAACTCTCGGTGTAATTAACACAATTGAAAGGAAGTCCTGCATAATACATTCAGCTAGCAAAAGTAGATATACCAGGATCCCTTAAAATCTTCCTAGAAGATTCTAAATCAATAGGCCCACATTTTCTGTTTTCATTTGGTTTTTGCGAGAAATAGAGATTTATAGGACCCTTGACATTGCTATTGGTGGATGACCCACTCTCACTACTTGAAGACTTCTTTTTGACATTTTGAGGGAGGCCCATTGGCATATTCACTTCAACTTCATCATCATCAAGAACATTAACCATGGATGCTTCATGGTTCATTTGAGTTTTAAACTCATTTTTTTTCCAGCAAATACTCTTTGATCTCTTCCTTCACACTATCCGGGACCTTCGGACATACTTTTACATCTCTATAACCACCAATAAGATGCTTTTTGTGAGGAAATATTCCGCCATTGTATGTCATATCACAAAAGACACATTTGACTTTTGTGTTACTGCCCATAGGAGTTTCATACGCCCAAGTCGGATCCCTTTTTTGTGACATTGAATAAGAAAATACAGCTTACTACAAGCAAAAAAAAGAAGAGTAACTCGGTAACAAAAAAACTAAGGAAAAAAAATAAAGATAGAACAGAGCAGCAACCAACATACAAAAATAGAAAAAAACAGAGTAGTAGTCGATCAAAGAGAAGAAGAGAACTAACCTAAAGAGAAGTCGCAACTCGCAGCAGTCGGATGGAAAACAATTGGAAGTCACAGCAGCCCAAGTATATTTTCAAAAATTTAAAAAAAATACAATTTTAAAAAAAAACCCTAACTAGCTCCTTTTTCATTTAAGCGAGCTTTTTGTTGCCTTTTCTTTATGCCCGCTTCTCACTTCTACTGCTGAAGCGCTTGCTTTTTCAGCAGCGCCTCGCTTCAGAGCATAAAAGTGCAGCGAGTGCGCCTTGCCTCGCTTCGCGCGCTTTTGAGACTGATTACCTGAGATTTTAGCCAACTTCCCAGCTCATTGTAATCTGGCTCCCTGCGCCTCTAAGACAATGCTTCTTCCCTTTGTAATAAAATTCCATTGTGAGCTTACGAAAATTCATTTTGATATCTCCTAAAGTCAACAACTACTAAACACCCAAAACCACTCCACAAGAACTTAGTGGTAATAACAAGAAATCAGTTGAAAACTTAGCACCTTGTAATAACCAAGAAATGGTGCACATTTTGTTTACTTGCATATCATTTCCAATGGCTGCTGCAACCCTTTCAGGACGAATAGATCTGATCTGGCACCCTAACTGCTTGACTAACTCAATCAATGAAGTTGTGTGAACTTCCTGTATCAATTAAGATGTGCAATGGCTTTCTAAGTGGTAACCAATGACCTTCAATGTCCTCAATCCCAAAGAACCATTCAAGGCATGAATAGAGATTTCTAGTTGCTCCAAGGATTTTCAAGTTCCCGTTCTTGTCCCTCCAATGGCCCATCCAACTCTATTACTGGATCTACCTCCATTCCTTCTTGTTCTTCTATCTCCAGCAGATATAATTGCTTAACGTTCTTGCATTTGTGCCCAAAAACATATTTTTCATCACAAAAATAACAAAGGCCCGTAGCTCTTCTATCATTCATCTCTTCCATACTCAAGGTCTTCCTATTAACACCTTTGTGTGGCCCTGAGTAACTAATGCTTGATGTTGGCAATAACCCTTGTTTACTCTGCATTCTCTGATCATTTATCCTCCTAGAGGAATTGAAACTCTGAAGTCCAGTTGGTTGCCTTATCGCAGCAAGATAGGCTTCCTCTAGTCTTGCACTTTTATAAGCCTGAGACAATGATATGAATTGGTTATCTTCACAACAATATTTAATTCATACTTCAACCCTCCAATGAAACAACTAATAGCATTTTCCTATGAAAGCTTCACCCTAGTCAGATGTCTGTCAAACATAGCGTGGTACTCCTTTATGCTCCCCACCTGCTTGATCTTTTTTAATCTCCTCCATAGGGTCATCGAAGTCGGTACCAAATCTTTCAACCATGGCCATCACATTCTTGGTCCAAGTTGCAGGTTGTAAGTATTGCTATATCTCATAAAAGAGAGACGCCACTGTATAGCTTCTCCTTCCAGTTGCAAGGCTGCAAGTGATCCCTTCTCTTCATCAGTAACATTTTGCGTAAAAAAAAACTGCTCGATCTTGAACAACCAAGATCTCAAATCCTCTCCAGAAAACCTCAAAACTTCCATTCTCGGCCACCTTGAAAAATTGGAATTATGAGTGTTGTAACTGGTAGGACTCATGGGTCTGTGAATTCTCTCCTCAGAAAGTGTTGCAGCCGAAGGACCGTCCTATTGCATAGGAGTTGTCTCCCTTCCAGATTCTCGATTGCTGACCAAATGTTCCTTCAATTCCATGACCACTTAATCCAATCTCTTCATGTTTGTAACTTCCCCTGCCGAATTCCCCATTTCTTTTTTTTTTTTTTTTGATAACCGAGAAATCCGTCTGTGACCCGCTCTTTGGACCAATCACAACCTTCTAAACTCGGTGGATAATGGGCCCCCCCCTCTACCCTTCTCCACTTAAATACCAGGCTTCGCTTTGCATGGTGTGGGGCTTGAACCTGCGACCTAAGCCACAAATCCTCCACCTTTTGCCACTTGAGCTAGGCCTTGGGGGCCCGAAGTCCCCATTTCTGTTGGAGAATTATCGGCAGACCTTGTTCGTTTCGCCATTAAAATCCAAGGATAGATGACTCTGATGCCAATGTTACTCGATTACAGGAATTCTCAATGAATTCGAGGATCAAGTTACTGATTCAGGAGTAACCTCGAGAATACAGTTGAAGAAGAAGAAGAATTAAGAGAGAAGAAGGTAGTTTAGGAATAGAGAAGAATTCTGTATTTCCATATATGATAGTACAATGAGTTGATTACATGCTATATAGTTATTGAATGACTGAAATGTACAGCTATTAATTCACTAATCTAATAGAAATCAGTTATAACTGCCCAACTGCTTTCACTCTAGCTGTCTAACAGAATTAACTACTTTCCGGAAGCCTAAATCTAACTCTTACTCCTTAATTGTGTATCACTGAAATTAGCCCAACTGAACAACTGGTTGAAATTAGGGATTATATGCACCTGTAGCTTTAACTCCTTCACTGAGGCATCATTTCGGTGGAACATCTCTAGGATATAGAATAAAAAAATATGATGTCAGTTTAATTAGATAACATACCTCATAAAAGTAGCCTTAGTGCTAACTTCTTTTCATTTGTGGGATAACACTTCTACATTGGTATGATTAGTATGTATTATGGCTAATTGGGTTACAGTCCTTGATTTTTCCTCCTATCTTCCATTCACCCAAGACTATTACTCCTTGCATTTGAGCAGAAAGTGTGTTGCCCTTGGTGTAGCTGTATGCTTTCCTGTAATGGCTCGAGGAGATGCGTATAGTCCTTATAAATATCTATTCTTTTGCCTCAGTAAAGTCCTACAAGTACCAAGTACCTCAATCACCAAATAAACAACCTAACACCCTAAACCAAGAACTGCAGTTTATAATCATATTAATGGCAAATTAACCTTTTCAGGTTTCAATTAATGAATTAGTTTTGAATAATTTCTTTTTGATCAGTATGTAATAGCTTTTTGAGTAATTGAACAGTTGATACCTGTTTTCAGTGCTAGTGCAAGTCTTGGGATTATCCTTGTCATTTTGCCTCTACAAGAAAACAACCCCAAGCTCCATAAACTTATATATCTAAAAAAAGGAAAGATAAACAAAATAAATCCAAGCTCTGTGTTGCAACTGTCTATAAAGAAATGTAATTACTTGATCACACAGTTGGATCCGAAGGAAGAATGAAAATATGATTGAGACGAGCGGTCGATCATATGTGAAAAAGTAAAATTCGGTTCTTTTCGTCTTTCTAAGCATTTTTTCCTTGTCATTGGATATCTCCATTTATATTGAGCATTCTGTTGTTCAGCCGCACATTCATGGCAATCATTGGTGGTGTCATTGCCGGCATTCTGGGACTTAATAGCTTGACAGGATTTATCTTTTATTTTCTTGTCATGGCAATGACTTCAGTAGCACTCACTGCGAAGGCCAACTTTTCAATCCACTCCTACTTTGACAGTTGGAACAGAATCTTGCTTGATGGATTTTTTGGCGGGCTTATGGTACTTCTTTGCATTCATACTTCTAATCAGATCTCTTCTTCGTGCATTCTTTGTTTCTAATCATTGATCAAGAAATAGTTCATCTGCCTGCTCAATCACCTGCATAAGAAATGGTTAAAATGATAGAATATTGTAAAAAAATTACTCCCTCTGTCCCAATTTATGTGACACTTTTCTTTATTTCGAGAGTCAAATAGTTTACGTTTGATCGGAAATTTGCGCATGGAATTTTCAAATTTTTTGAAATGAAATTTACCAATAGCGTTGATTACTGGTTGCTGGGAGAGAAATAAAAGCTACTTCAAGTTTGAAAATTGGTGGCTGCAGTCAGAAGGATTTGTGGATAGAGTTAGAGAGTGGTGGAGCTCCTTCAGTTACACAGGAAGACCTGATTATGTTTTGGCATGCAAACTTAAAGCACTGAAACTTAAGCTAAAGGAATGGAAACAAGAAGAGGGTGGAAATCTGGGCAGTCAAAGAAGGAGATTGTTAGAGCAGTTAGCAGAATTAGATACAGAAAGGGTAAATAGAACTCTCACTGTGGAGGAAACGACAAAAAAGGCTGCAATCTTACTTGAGTATGAAGAGCTAGTCAAGAAAGAGGAAGTTTCATGGAGACAGAAATCAAGAGTACTATGGTTGAAGGAGGGAGACAAGAACACCAAATTCTTCCACAAAATGGCAAATGCTCACAGGAGATATAACAATATAGATCAACTCATGATACAAGGAGAGGTTACTCAAGAGAAAAGCAGAATTGAAGGGGAGATAATAGCATATTATAAGAACCTGTATAGAGAAACACATCAATGGAGACCTTATAATAATGCTGAATGTCCAATGTTGACTGAAGAGGAAAAACTGTCCCTGCAAGGCAGATTTGAGGAGAATGAAGTTCTAAATTGCCTAAAGCTATGTGCAGCCGATAAGGCTCCTGGTCCAGATGGGTACATAATGGGTTTCTTCATCAAGTGTTGGGATGTACTGAAGAAAGACATCATGGACACATTTCAAAACTTTTATGAGCAAGAAGTCTTCGAGAAGAGTTTCAACGCTACCTTCATTGCACTCATTCCAAAGAAAAAAGGAGCCAATGAGTTAAGGGACTACAGACCAATTAGCCTCATAGGGAGCATTTACAAAATACTCTCCAAAGTTCTCACAGAAAGGTTGAAAGCTGTGATAGATAGAC